CTTCCTATCACTCCCAGAAGAAGTGCTAGAAAGGCAGCACAGAATCTCTCTGCAGACGTGGAATCTGTCTCTGTTCGGGAAGACCTGCCTTCAGGTGGGGAAGTGGAAATCCTTGATACTCCTAGGAGAAGAACAAGGAAAGTTGCACAAGCTAAACCAGAAAAAACAGATACTATTGAAAAAACGCCTGAGCAGCCAAATGAGCAGTCGACCACACCCAGGACTGCAATAAGGTCAGGGTTTCGGGGCAGAAAGAGACAATTACCATCAATATTGGAGGAGAACACGAGGGAAGAAGTCTTCCCTGAAGGAACTGATGGCAGTCCTTTGCTGCTTACAGACATAAACACATCAGGATATGATGAGACGTCAAGAACTGTAACAGATCGTGTTAGAAGAAACAGATCTCGTAAAACTAGCATGCATCAGGATCTGCCTGTTGAGGAAAATGAATCCTTTTTTTTCTCTCCTCCTCTCACAAAACTGACAAAGAAATTCAAAGGTAGGTGTAACATGTTCACGTGTAAAATACAGTGTATTGCTCAGTTGTAAGAAACATACATCATAATTACAAGTGCAGCTTTTAGTTGTACGACTTGTAGCTGTACAAAAGTAAAAATTTGGAAAGAGGAAAATAATCTTTCTACCTGAATCTGTACTCTCTGAACTAGTCTGGCTAGCTAGTTGTGGTGGAAAGAAGTGAGTTGAGGCTGAGTTTTGAGTGGCGTGAAGTCTGATTTGAATTTCTTATCATTAGCTTAATTTCTGTCAAATAAGAACAGTGGAGGATGTCAGTTAATGTTATTTCCATCCCTTTCCCCTACGGTGGAGAAACAGAGAAGACACACTTCTAAATTATATTCACTTTTTAAGTTAGAATGAGTGCATCTTGTTACAGGCTAGACAACTTTCTGAAACTGTTGAAATATACTTTGCTAGTGAGTTCTTTATCGTAGAATCCTTGAGTAGGGAGGGACCTCTAAAGGCCATCTAGTCCTGTGATGAACAGGCACACCTACAGCTACCTCATGTTGCTGAGAGCCTGGTCTAGCCTGGTCTTGAGTGTCTACTGGAACAAGGCATCCACCACATCTCTAGGCAGACTGTTCCAGTGCCTCACCACCTTCACTGTAGAAGACTTTTTCCTTATATCCAACATAAATCTACTCTCTAAGTTCAAAACCATTTCCTCTTGTCTTATCACCACAGACTCTGTTAAAGAGACTGTCCCCTTCCTTCTTGTAGCTTCCCTTTAAATACCAAAGGGCCACTATCAGGTCACCTCTGAGCCTTCTCCTTTTATATTAGACTGCATGAATAATTTTGTTTTGAAATGTTAGAATCATAAATTCATGGAATGGTTTGCGTTGGAAGGGACCTTTAAGGTCATCTAGTTCCAACTGCCCTACTATATGCAGGGGCATCCCTTTCCAGACCAGGTTGCTCAAAGCCCCATCTAGCCTGGACCAAAATACCTTCTGGATGATGGCTCATTTATTCTTGTTCCACCATTCACTATAAAATAACAGATTCAAAGAGGCAGTTAAAAGGGAGAAGTACGTTGACAGTGTATGTTTGTAAACTTGATTGGGCCCTTTATTTTAGGAAGCTATGGTACTGTTGATTTTCGGGTGTAATTTAACATCTCTTTCCTTTATAGTGTACATGCATGTTAACAATTCATTGTTGTTTTAGCTGGAAAAGCAGACCAACATGTGCAAGATTTAGACCCAGACTTGTCTTCTCAATTTGTCTTTTCACCTCCTCTTTTGAGGTCAAGGAGGAAAAATGTGTCTAGTACTCCCCACACTGTGGAAGAACCGGTGAGTAAAAACTGTAGTTGTGTCACATCTTTTACTTTGCTCCGTGTCTCTTTCAAATTTTATTCTCAATGCTTTGCCTTTTTCCTTGGAAACAAGTAGGATGCTCTGAAAGTAATGCCTCCTACTTATTGCCATGGAAACTACAACAGATTCAAATAGTGTTATTGTTCCATTTCTTAGAGCAAATTCACAGCCCCAGAATATTGTTTGTCACCATAGTCACCACTGTTAGCTACGCATTACTGCCAGCAATGAGTAAGAGCCTGCGTGCCATGCTTGCAAAAATTTGCACCAGCAGAGGTGACCTGCTGTTGTCACTGTTGAAATGTGCCACCCACTGTTTCACTGTGCTTCTATCCACTGTTAGATTTCTGGAAACATTCAGCAAGCTTTGATGAATGTCAGTGGGTGCCGTTTTTTCCACATGAAGGAATTTGGTGGCATGCTTTCACTTCATACACGCTGTCATGTCAGATGTCATTCTGTCAGACTGTCCCTTTGCTGCCAACTGTCACATGGCAACAAAATGGAATGGAATATTGGTGGGAAGGTTCACCCTCTACTGAAATGCCATCAACAGCTGTCTCTGATGTAGTGGGCCAGCATAATAAAACATTACTGGAACATTAATGGAAACATTACTGTTGCAGCAGCCCTTATGTACCTAAAAAGAGAACTTTAATAAGCGAAACAAGTTTGTTGTTATGTGAAAGCTAGCTACAAAAATTGATTTTGTATCTATGTAGGTTAAGAACTAATAAATGTTGCCTTAGCTTTAAAAGAGGGCACAGTGACTTTAGGTCACTGTGGTGTGTTACTTGTTTATTTCTGAATTTTAGGATGATTTCGTAATTTGATATGGGAAGTTTATTTTTTCAGAGAAAAACTGTAATGCCTTTATAAATTGTAACATTATAATAACTTCAGTAAGCCTTCAGTTGTATTCTTTACGAGTGTAAGAATGCATTCATGTTAAGAACGTTCTTGTTGCTTTAATGCAGGAGCTTCCAACTAAAGAAGAGGAGGAAATCAAATCCATAGAATCTCTGGGAAAACAAAAATTGAAGAGAGGTAGACCTGCAAGATCAAAAGTGAAGAAAGCAAGCAAGTACATAATTTTTTTTTTTAACACTTTTATTATAGTAGTGATTCAGCTGTTAGCCCCCTAATTTCATCTGACCCATTTGGCTGTGTAGCTCTCACTTTAAGAGCCAGTCCAGCTTGCTGGTCTGATAAGCACATTTTTCCCCACTTAATGATTTTGTGTTCCAATGGTAATAGAAAAAGGGGATGGACAGTGGTAAAAAGTTACTCCCTGTGGTTACTCGATGTCCTCTTATGTCATCTGGTTCCATCTTGAAAACCATATACCCGTAAGGTCTTTAGTTCCTCATATAAAGCAGAAGGGGCCAGATAGTGAGTAAAGAGAATGTCTTGGTTCTGGACCTGTTTTTTTGCTTTCTTTTGGAAACAGTTTATTTGAAGACACTTAACCTTTTAAAAGTCTGCAAAGTCACTAAAATCTCTCTCTTAAGAGTAGTGACTGAGATAACATGAAGAAATGTGGTAAGGATTGGAAGGAAGAGTAAGCTTTTTAATGTACTACTTCTGCTTTAATCCAGTCTACAAGGTAGATATTAATTTGTTGGTATTTATTTTGTAATTCCACTTTTCTCTACTTAATATTGTTGGTTATAAAGTCAATTTGATGATTCTTGTGTTCGCAGAACCACGAGAAAAGAAGTTTCTTGGTCACCTCCACCAGTGGAAATAAATTTCATTTCTCCTTTTGGAACTCCAGTGGATGAAATGAGAAGCAAACAGAAAGAAACCACAGATGCGACAGAGAAGACTGTACGAAAGAACAAAAAAAGACTGTCTAATTTTCCAAAGCCAGTTGTGCGCCGGAAGATGTTGTAACTGTTTTTTAAGTTGGTAATGTACACCACTGTTTATAAGGTCATCAAAATTGTGTGGACTAGTAAAAAGGAAAAATAATCATCTAATTTGGAAGAGATAATTTATATAAATTATTGTAAAATTTCATAAACAAATGGTCTTCAATAAGTAACTCCATATGGAGTATGATTTCCTCAGTCAATGCAGTTTTCTATTTTATATTAAGACTTCATACATTTATATAATATGTAAATACAACCTATTTTAGGAATGTTAAATAAAAATGTATACTTCACAATATGCTTACTGTCTGATAGCTTTTTGGGGGAATAGTGGGTTGAATAGCCTGTACTGTTCAGAAGTTTTAATGTTGGTTTACGAGAGTTTGTGATGCTCACAAGTGAGGCCAAAAGTTTTTAAAAGGTTTGTTTAGAACTACTGTACCAACTAAACATTTGAAACACGCTGGTTTAAATTTTATAGATAATGTTTGACCTCCTTGAACAAATGATTGGGTTCCCAAATACAAAATGTTAATTCTTTATGTTCATGGTTAAGTTGTACTGTATTGAAGTCAAAATGTAAACAATTGTATTTTATGCTGTGCAATATTTTTTTGTATTTGTCTTAAAGTTTGGGAAAGCTGCTCTTCGTTTATAAAACCAGATCACATCTCAGATGTTTTGCTATTTTTTACAATTTGTTGTCAGCAAAAAAGCTGTATAGAGGAATTGATGCTTACAATAGCGTATCAAATTTAGAGAGAGATTGCCCACACAATTTTGGCATAAATTTCAAAATATTTTCATAAGACTAATACAAAAGCAACTATACTTGAAATAATTACTAAATAGTTACTGTCTAAACATTTTGCAGTATTTGAAGCCTGCATATCACAACACTGAAGGTACAAAAATGTACAGAATTACAAACCGTATTTTTGAATAATGATCTCATTATCAACCTTAGGTTACAGAGTCAATGTCTCTATGAGGTTTCAGTTTGTAGGAATAGATGAAAAAGACTATTCTTTTAAAAGTAGACATGGAAGTACTATTTTGATGTGCAGTCTTTTAGACAATGGATTATTTTTTATGTATGTTAATTTATATATGGATGCAACTTTGAAGACTACAAAATGGTGGAACCTGACATTAAACTTTTCAATTAGTAAAAGCTACTACAGTTACTTTAAGAAATAATTTATTGGTTAACTAACACCTTGTACATAATGAATGAATGTATTAATAATAGACTAAGTGTGTAAAAGAAATTTCTTTCGGGGCCATGACTTCTCTGTCTCCGAACAGGACATTCTAGAGAAGTAGCTGCATGCACTTTAATATTTTGCTTCTTGGAAGCATTCATGACTGAATGCTGCTTAAAAAATGCCAAATGTTGACAGTGTGAAAGTGGCAGTTCGAGTGAGACCTTTCAGTCAGGTTAGTAATTATTTACTCTGGATATTTTTTTAAATTTTATTTACAATGTACATATGATTGAAGAGGATGACGAGGGGAAGTTATGAGAATATTTTTTAAATGTGCATTTTAAATCCTGCGAGTAGCTCAGAAAATGGGCAAACGATTGAACTTTAATACTGAAACAGGGAAAGAAAAGACTTCAAACTGAACATTTGCTCTACGTGGTGCACAAAACTATAATGTGCTTGGATTCCTGATCAAATAGAATTGACTGAGTTGTTAGTGGAGATTGTTCAGCAACATTTTATGATACTTCTTTATACTTCGGTACTATTTTTGTATGAAAATACAATGAATGAGAACACACAATTTTAGTAATAATTTGTAGAAATTTTTAGCCTCTTTTATTTTATAATCAGCTCAGCTGAATTACCCTCACTTGGCGGTGCTTTGGCAGAAAAAAGAAAGCTATGGTAATACAAGAAAATTGGCATGAGATTTAATAACTTCCTAAAGGCTTCTTCCAGTGATTTTTATTTTGTGAGATTTTTAATCCTTTTAAATGTTAAAATGTTTTTCTCCATTTTTATTCAGTTACTTACATTCCATTTACATTTCTTGGAAGCTTAAACTACGAGATTGCCCAGGGAGTTTAAAAAGAATGGGAGTGTTGGCATAATAATGAATGAGATTTCAGAACATTGAAGGACAGAGAGAAATGGAAGCAAAAGCAAGCTCTGGGATTTTTTAAATCATTTTTTTCTAAAGGTCTGAGAAAACAAAGAGCCTAACAGGATAAAGGCTGCAGTACGAAGAAAGATGGGTTTATAATGAAATGGAGACAATAGATTTTACTTGGTTTATTTTGTGCTGACTCGCAATCAGTATATGAAGGCAAGAGTGGAAGAGATAATGTCACATATAATGGAGAGGAATATCCAGTGTATGTGCCATATGTTTTTTTTAACAATGAGGAGGAACGGAGGAGACTGCAGTTTTAAAAAGACAAAGTGGCTTCTTGTGTGTTGGTGAGCAATGGAGTCATCTGACAGAATTGCAGATGTCTGCTAGTCTATCTCAGGGAAGTAGTGGCCGTGGTTCCAGAGGGCCTTGGGGAGCCTGTAAGAGAAAGCTGTGGTACAGCATTGTGGTGGATGTAAGCAGAATGCCCTAGGGGTGTAGAGAAGCATTCTTCCTAAGAAATTGCACAGCAGGCCTTACTGTAAACAAGATCAAAATTTCTGTGCTGCTTATCACTGAATAGAGCAATTACAGAGTTTTTCTACACGAAGGTACATTGCTTAAGGATTCTTGTTTTTGTTTGCTGAAAAAATGGCTGAGACTCCTGCTAAAATGGCAGCTAAAAGCTGAAGCTAAATTATGCGTCTGTACCCTTGGGGCCTTGACCCCAAAGAAAATTCCAGTAGAACACTGACTTCCTCAGTGTAATATTCTCACCTCTCAGAAAGCAGAATGAAAAAGATGCAATGGCAGATTCTGTGGTCAGGAAACAGTAGGAGATATTCATGAAAGGATTTTGAGCATGAATAGAGCTACAGGCTGTTGTCAAAGGGGCATTTGTCAGGACGTGCTTTAGTAAAGATGTCTCACTAAGTTATCTCAGATAATTGACAGAAATATGAGTTTTTTCATTAAAAAAGCAGCTCAAGTTGGTGAAAGTATTCAAGTTGTAACATGAGGGAGAATTGAAGCAAATCTGTTTTGCTTTTGACAGCCACTAAATCCAGACTAAAACATGACGTTAGTGGATGACTGCTTATATTTTGACACAGTAATTATGATTTTGATACAGAGAGAGAAGGACGCAGGAAGTAGGTGTGTGATTTCTATGGACTCCAACAGTACAAGCATCTATGATCCTAGGAATCCAGGGCACGTGAAAACCTTCACGTTTGACCTGGCCTATTGGTCTCACAGTGGCTTTCTAAAGGATGAGAACGGCATGCTCATCTCAGCGGGATCTAACAGTTATGCAGGCCAGGTAAGATTTTATTCAAGGAGCCAACTAACAGGAGATGTAAGTAATACACAATTGTAAACCAGCTGTTTATCTTTGTTATTTTGTTTTCTTTGTTTTCGTTGCGATTAACGTTCCAGCTGAGCACTTTGTGCAGGTTTGGGTACCACAATGTAAGAAGGATGTATAACTATCAGAAAGTAACCAAAGGAGGGCTGTGAAGGTGGTGAAGGGGTCTGTAGGGCAGGCTGTGTGAGGAGCAGCTGAGGCCTCTGGGTTTTCTCAGCCCAGAGCAGAGGAGCTGAGGGGAGGCCTCATGGCAGCTGCAGCTCCTCACAGGGCTCTGGTGACAGTGACAGGGCCAAAGAGAACAGCATGGAGTGTCAGGGGAAGGATAGGTGGGGGTTAGGAGCAGGTTCTGCGCCAGAGGGTGGATTGCACAGAACGAGCTGACCAGGGCAGACGTAATGTTTGCATTTTTGGCGGTCTGGAGTGGAGCACTCGAGAGTTGAACAAAATGAGCCTTGTGGGTTCTTTCCATCTTGGGACCTTGTGTCATTTTATGAATGCGTTTGATTGCTATCTCTCTATTTATCATTTTGAAGCATTATCTACTTTTTAATTACATTTCTTTTATCCTGGAACTCTCTATTCTTAGATGTGTTTGTAAATACTGACTATTTGTTTAAACTCTGAGTGGGGACCCTCCTACCAGATAGCAGCACTTGTGTGTGGATTTTCCTGTTCACCTTTGATGATGGTGTATTTGATCATTTTTTAGAGAGAAGTCTTTCGTGATCTTGGCCAAGGAGTGCTGCAGAGTGCCTGGCAGGGTTACAATGCAACTCTTCTAGCATATGGCCAGACCGGCTCTGGGAAGAGCTACTCCATGATTGGGTATGGTGCAAACAGAGGGCTGGTTCCCAGTGTGTGTGAAGAGCTCTGCAAAGCAATCCAAAGTCAGGAAAAGAACAAGCAGTACCAGGTGAGACTAGCACAGATTGCAATTTATTTCCAAGATCTTTCCAGACTATACTCTGAAGACTTTAAATTCAGATTAGTAAAATTAGAAACAGTGGCTACATGGAACAAATTGCTGTGCAAACTTTAGTGAATCCTATACAAATGTTGAATGAGAAGTTCACAGAATCATAGGGATCAGAGGGACCTCTGAAGATCACCAAGTCCAACCGCCTTGCTAAAGCAGTTCCCTACAGTAATTTGTACAGTAGCTTGCACGTCCACGTGAGTCTTGGATATTTCCAGAGAAGGAGACTTTACAGCTTCTCTGGGCAGCCTGTTTCAGTGCTCTTCTACCCTCAAAGTAAAGAAGTTTTTCCTTCTGTTTGTATGAAACTTCCTGTGTTACAGTTTGTGCCTGTTGTTCCTTTTCTTGTCACTGGGCATCACTGAAAAGAGCCTGGCACCATCCACTTGACGTGTGCCCTTTAGATATTTGTAAACAATAATAAGATCCACTCAGTCTTCACCAGACTGAACAGTCCTAGGTCTCTCAGCTGTCCTCATAAGGGCGATGCTCCAGGCCCTTCATAGTCTTCCTGGCCCTCTGCTAGACTTCCTAGAAGCTCCCTATCACCTTGCCAGCTAATAGTTCTGTCAAAAATTAATGTTTGATCTTAACTATTCGTATCTGGATGCTTATTGAAATGCATCTTGTGATATAGCCTACCCAAGCAACAAGGATTATATATGCAAAGATAAATTAAAAAATACTGGAGAGGAAGCACAGTTGCGATCAAACGTTACATATCTGATAAATAGTTGATTGAATTAAAATGACACAATGGGTTGGGATGAAGAGAGGTTTCTATCCAGGTAACCTGCGTTATTTTTACAATGGGACAAATAAATCCATTCCAAGGATTTTTTTCAAATGCATTTTACCTTTTTGTTACTTCTTATCTTAACAGATTACTTTCAGCATGCTGGAAATCTATAATGAACAGGTAATGATCTCACTCAGTTCTGGTACTAGCAAATCTTAGTTTTCTGTGTACATTTATGTATTTTCTGTGTACTTTTTGTTCTCCTTACATGACCCTACTGGGCATGATGACTCATGCATGTGGGCAGTATCTGGGCCCAGCAGCATCTGTTTGCTGTTGAGCTACATGAGGGTCTGGTAGCAGGTCTTCTCAAGTTCGTAAGTTATGTTGCTTTCCAGCTACTGGAATGGGACAGTGAGAGGTACACTGGGGATATCTCAGGCCAAAACTGGGCTCCTGATACAGCACTGTCCTCTGTAGGAGCCTTGGGAGGGGGGGGTCACATTTCTCCATACAGTGGCAGTTCAAGGGGAATCTGTGCAGCAAAGCCAGCAATGAATTAGGGAGAAGGCCTTAGCTGCCGCCATAGCCCCTTGCGAGCAGCATCCCTGGCTGCTCTGCACACCACTTCTTTTCTCCTTTATGTATTTGGCTTCTTTTTGAAGTAAAAAAAAAAAAAAAATGATTAAAGAGATGACATTTTTATTTACGTTGTTTTCCTTTCTCTCTTCATGTTATCTTCTTGTACTGGCAGGCATAGGAAATGTTAGCAATTACAAATGTGTAACCTGTTGGGAAGGAGGTTGTTTTGAAGATGATGTATGTCTCAGAGGATTGCATTTGTAGCTTTCCTTCTAAGAGTTATGCATTTTTGCCACTTGTTTGTGAAATTTTTTCCCCTGAACCATTGTCCTCATTAGTTTAGGGACATCTGGCCAATTTCAGTCAGGTTTGATGCAGTGGACAAGAAAGAGAGGGAAAAAATGAAAACACAGGAAAGCAAACAATCCGCTTTGGCAGCTCATCGAATAAGCTTTTATAAACTTCTCATAACAACTAATTAAATAATTTTGCAGAGATCTTAAGTCTCCAGTTATGAACTTGCAATATAGATTAAACTTTCCTGCAAAGTGGAACTCTTTGGGAATGAGTTTCTAGATGTGGTGAAGCTAAAACAGCTACCACGTGGCCAGCTGTATCCTGTCTTTTTTCTTTTAATTATTCTATCTTTACTAGGAGTAATATTTTCTTTTCTTATTTTAGTAGAATATTTTAACTATAAATCTCTCTCCACAGGTAATAGACTTGCTGTCTAAGACTAGGAAGCCTGGAGGGCTGAAGATTAGAGAAGACCAGCAGCAAGGTTTTTATGTGGATGGTTTGAAGCTGGTGCCTTGTGATAATTACGCACAGATTGAGAGGTTAATGGATCAGGGGAATAAGATGAGAACAACAGCTACGACCACCATGAATGCCTCCAGCAGTCGATCCCACATGGTTATCGCGATCCAATTCAAACAGGTAGCGTGAAGGCACTGCTTCCTCTGTGTTTCTTACCTCTGCCACCACAGAGCAAGTGGGTGAGTATGAGTCAGGTTTCCTCTCCCCAGGTTGCTGGGCCAGCCATGACTGCTTGCAGTTTTGACACACGCAGTTCATCACTGCTGCTCTGGAGTGTGCCAATGTTGGTAAATAAAACATCACAATGCTCTGAGAATCTGCACAGGGTATCCTTTTCTGTAATTTGATGGTATCTGAAGCACTGATTTGGTGACCTTTCCTTATGTGCTGATGATGTGTTTTAACAGATTTTCCTAGATGAAGCTATCACTAAACAGTCAGTTATCAATCTGGTGGACCTGGCAGGAAGTGAAAGGCAAAAATCATCAGGATCTGAAAAAGACAGATTGAAGGAAGGAACACGTGTAAATCTAAGCCTAACTACATTAGGGAATGTCATCAGGTAGTCATTATTTTTTAATATCCCTGTCTGTGAGGTAGAAAACAAATTTCTATGTATGAAACAACCTGTCTCTCCATTGAGATCTTCCTTGCCGTGTGGTTAATAGAAGTACTTAATGATAAGCACATGGAAACAAAAATATTTCTCCATTTACTTTGTTGTTTTTCCAGGCTTCATGCCCTGTGAGTGTTTTCTAGGCAGTGGCAGAGGTGAAGCAGCCTGACAGGACCACTGCTCAGTGAGCCATATGTCCAGGTTCTTTTGGAACTCTGAACTGAGCCATTCAGAGCAGTTCTTTTAGTATGAAATTCTGAACAATAAGTTACAGAAGTTATGTATGAATGGGAGTTGTTGTGGTTTTTTTTTTAGTTTCCATAATGCATCTGCTGCAGTATCTGATCTAGCTGTCTTTTATTTCCTAAAATTGCCATTATATGTACACTTCTGTTGTTCATCCCTTTTTGTTCAACCCTTTATTTTCCTGTAGTGCTCTGGCTGAGGTAGCAACAGGAAAGAAAGTGCTGCATATCCCATACAGGGACTCAGTGCTGACTAAACTCTTGCAATCTGCTCTTGGGGGGAACAGCAGGACAATCATGGTAAATTGACTCTATTCAATATTTTTTCCCAATTTCTGAGATCATTGTTTGTATTGTGGACCAGATGTTGCATTCCTAAGTAGGATGAATCTCCATAGAATCTTTGCTTTGTCTCAAGTGAATTGTGTACTCCAGCATCTTTGAAGGAATATATATATATGTATATATTAAAGTACCCTGAAATGATAGGAAAACATGAATAGAAAATTTGCATGTGTGAACATGTTGGCTTTATATGCTCATAGTCATAAAACAGTTTAACTGAGTTCCTTATAATACTACCTTTCTTAGTTTAGTGATGATGATGTGAACAGATTTGAGGACATTCTACAACTATTACTTGTACAGGAACTATTAAAGTATTTCTGAGATTGTTGAGTTGAGCTGCAGGCAGTAGGATTTTGACGCCTTAGTTGTTTGTTTGTTTGTTTTTTAAAACCACCTATATTTTCTCATCTTGCCTTCTCATTTCTGGCAAAAATGTTAGAGTACATTTTCAGATAGATTTCTAGGACTCTCCGTCTATGTTTCAGGACTTAGCGGTATATTTTCCCATGTGAATCTTTTTCTGATTTTTGGAATTATTTATAATTACTTAAACATCATTCAAAATCTAAGGGCAGTAAATACTTTTGTATGCTTGCAGATTGCAGCCTTGAGTCCAGCAGACATCTGCTATGAAGAAACTTTGTCAACCTTAAGATACGCTGAAAGGTGCACTTCTATAATGTTTTCCTCTCTGGTCTTGGTGCAAATTGCAGTCAGATGGTTGGGCAAAATGACAGAAGGTACCAATTCTAATTGATCAACGGCTCAGAATGGTGGAGGAGTGAATCTGTGAATAACCTAGAGCAGCATTTTAGGAGATTATTTTTCATTCTTATTCATGAATAACACATTTTTAAAGAACTGAATTGTATGACAAAGGAAACTATTTGTTTCCCTGAGTCTCTCTTCTGAAGTAGATGGCTCCTGTTCTCCTCTTTTCCTTTCTCAGACTCAGGACTGGAAATCTCTCTTTGCAATATTTTCAGTTGGGCTTTGTCTGCAGCTCAGAGATCTTGCTCCCACAGCAGTCTGCCTGCCAGCAGGTGTCAGGAGTGGGAGATTTATTATTCCCAGCGCCACGTCAGTTCTGCAAGCAGCTGAATTGTGCATGATAGGGTTAGATGGAGAAGGGAAGGATTGTACTGGGCTGGCAGGGGCAAAACCAAAGTGGTAGCTCTGTGATTGCTGTAGCAGTAGGAGAGAGCGTGTCAGATGCTTTCAGCCTGGGGCAAATTTTCCATCAGATTCTTTTTAGCTTCTAAAGTTCCAGAGCTGTATGAGATATTTCTGAACAGGGAAAATAACAAAAGAGGGAGAAAAAAAAGCCATGTTTACCAAAAAATCTTGTCCCTTGCTGAGACCGTGGTTTTGTTTTTGTCTTTTATGTGTTTTCATATTGAAAAGGGCAAAAAAGATCAGGAACAAAGCAGTGGTAAATGCAAGCCCTACCAAAAAGCTGATAAGAGAGCTGAAAGCTGAAAATAACAAACTATTGTCCAGAATGGCTGAGCTCGGGGGCGCAGGGAGAGCGATATCCGATGAAGCACGTATGTATTTCAGCATAAATACAGCTACAGGTAACAAATAGATTTTGAGTTCCCAAAACGCTAGTAGACCTTTTTGGTAGCCTGTGATGTGGAAGCAGTGCGGTGGGAAATAAGCTGACATAGGTCCACAGGTGAATTTCTTAAAAATTGATGTCATTTTATCAGTTGGTGTTTGTATGAGGAGCTATGAGATATGGTATAGTGATGCTTGTGGTAGCAAGGGTAATGGGAGGATGCTTGGACTTAGATGATCTTGTAGGTCCTTTCCAACCTTTGATTCTATGATTCTATGAATCAGAGGGGCAGAGGCAGTCCAAGCATTTATAAAATGCTGACCCCGCTGTACCATTCCAAGTAGTTCAAAATCACAAGCTGAGATATGGGAAGAGGACACAAAGTGTTGGAGGCCTGTATTAACCCTGAAGGAGGATGTGTGCTGGTAGCAGCCCTCCTCTGTCTGATTAGGACTCTGTGTCCCTGAGACGTAGCACTTGAGAATGGCACCTACCAAACACCTTATCCTAGATGGGCAGCCCCACAAAGGGCACGCTCTTCTTGCACCCTCAGTTCATCCTCTGCTTTGTTTAGACAGCCTGACAGCACCGTTGTATTTCTGCCTCTTGGTGTGTAAGCAGCAGTTGATAGCTGTGATATGGGCTGTTTTTTTTCCCCCAGACATTATCAAAACAGATGCTGCTTTAAAAAAATAATTAAAAAAAAACTTTAGCTCTGCCTTTGAGAAAGAGTCCCTGCTTTCATTTGCATCCCTGGTGCAGGAACATGCCGTCGCTCTCAGTCAGACCCCTTATCGGGTGTTGGTGGTTTGCTCAAGGTGAAAGCCTCAAACAAGTCTAAATAAAGACACAACAGCAACAGGTGGGAGTGGAAGGTATTTCAGCTTTAGAGATTATAGCAAGGTGAGAATAGACAAACATCAGAGCTAAGAGAAGAGATGGAAACACACAATCGACTGGTATCTGCAAGTTCTTTTGATGAGATTTCACCTGAGACACCTAGCTTCAGCTGTTTCTCTTCAGCAGAGCTGCAACTGCTGGCTGAGAGTGAGGGGTGGCCACGGAGCACACAGATGACATGGGAGGCTCAGCTGGAAGAGGCCCGGCGGGAGTGGGAGCAGCAGTACTCTGCTATGATGCAGGCCAGTGTCCCAGCATCATGCTTCCAGATGCCTTAAACTCCAGTCTTTTTAGTTTGATGTTTTTTCCTGTCTTGTAATCTTTAAGATTTGTCCACATGCTTCAGATAAGTTCATACACTTCTCTGCCAGCAATGCCCCAACACAACCTTCTTTTTAGCTTGGGAAAACTAATGATAATTTAGTCCTTGGTTGTGGCTCCACGATACCATATTGAATTTTGCGTGAGTTAAGATAACAGAGTAGTCTGTCTGCTTCTACCACCAGTTGTACATTATAGCTTCTGACTTTTAGTTTGCAGTGTTAAGGAATCATTACTTAAATAAAATGTGTCTGTGAATGCACTGAGCTATGTCAAGTTAACTCTGATTTGTGTCATGTCAAAGTCCTCGACAAAAAGAACCGAAGATTTTCCCTTTAAAGCCAGTTATATTATAAACTTGGAGGCTATGAACATGTATCAGAATGCAATCCTCTTCAGTGTTTGACATTTATATTTGGGGGAGGGGAGGAATGTTCTCAAGTAAGCTGCTGTATGGTGATTTTTCTTGTTTAAAAAAAAAAAAAAAAGCAAAAAACCACACACAACAAAAACAAAAACCAAAACACCCAAAACTGGACCTCTACGTGTAACATTAGCTGTTATTTCAAGCTTTCAGATTCACCCACTGAAATTATATATTTCTCAATTCTTGCACAGGAGAGGTGGATGATGGAGAAGTTCCCATATCTCCTGAATATCAATGAAGATCCTCAGCTTTCATGGGTTCTCAAGCATTTCATTCAGGATGGTAAATGTTTTTTAAAGTCCTGAAGTCAACATACGAATAGTGTTTTCTGTGCTTCCACTCTGACATAACAGACTGGTCACACTAGGAAATTCAACTGTTTGAGTCAGGATTATTTTCTTTATTTCTTAAGCTCTTAGCAACTTTTTTCACTATTAAGTATGTGCTCCTTTGGAGATCTGAGCAAGCTGAGGAATTTTACTGTGAGAAGTGTTTCTATTGCAAAAAATGCTATGATGCACTAGAGAAATAAATCATTTACAATAGAAAAGTAAGTCATAACATCCAAGTCTGTTGGATGCTGTCCACTTCTTCCCCTAAGAATGTTCATTTGAAAATATGAGCCCTCATTTTGCAAGCCAATGATCCAACACTAACCACGTTCCTCCTGCCTTCCTCCTTATTGCCTGAGCATCCACTCCTGTGTAGGCTGTTATTTGCTGGTTTTTCCCTGACTTAGGGCTACAGTTAAAAGAAATAAGATATGATATTTGTGGATCTGGTACTCTGTTGCACATGGGGTATTTAGTCTGGATGTGCTTCTCCATCATTTGCTGGTAGTGTACCCCAGGAGTTACTGAAGACTCCCAAATACATTTGTAATTATTTTTATGCATTGACCCAGAGGCCAAATGGAGTGAATCCTTTTTGTTTCTCATGATTGAGTCTTGTCTCTAAAGAGAGAATAACTGACTATATTGTCATATTCAAGTAGTAACACTAGAGTGAAAGGCATAGCTCTTCAATTGATGCAAAAAAGAAAAGGTAAAAAGGAATGCAAAAACTTCAACACTCTTTGGTGTGTAAACTGCATGCGATTTATATTAGAAAATGCCTCTTTTTTTTTTTTTAAGGTACTTGTGATGTAGGTCAATCAGCCTCAAATGCTATAATCCTAAGAGGTTTGGGGTAAGTACACAAATGAATAGAAAACAAGAAATTTGCTATAGCGATCCTCTTGCTTTTTGGAGTTCTTTAATTTTTATTTTTATTACATTTTCTAAAATAAAATAAAAACTGCATAAACATGGGACATGATTATTTTGAACTTTTTATGGAAAGTGAAAGGCTGTAGCATGTGACTAATGAGCTGCTTATGTTTCTAAGAACTGCCATTCTTGTAATGGCAAAGATGTGAAGCCAAATGGGCACTTAGAACAAAGCCCCTCTGCCTCTTGAGTGGCAGCTCAAATGTATCATCTTTGAAATTATGATTCAGTGTTCTATGATGGTTCTCAAATTGAAAACAAGAAGTGAATCACAAGAAAATTTAACATCTTTCAGCATTTTGGACAAACATGCAACGTTTACAAATGCTGATGGCAGAGTTACCCTGGTGCCACGGGACAAGTGCAAGGTTGTTGTGAATGGAGTGACCATCACAGGGGAAACAGAACTGCAGCACTCGGTGAGTATCTTCTTTGAATATAAAACCCTGAAGGGAAAAAACACAAATCCAAACCAAAGATTTAGAATGAGCACTGTGTTTTCCAGCAGAATCTAAGGGAAGGTAAATTTTATTTACTTATTCATTTAAAATCAGTCCAATGTCAGTCTTGCTCTGAAGGACATCAGAATCTTTGTTCAGCTTCAGAATGACTTTTTTTGGTACAGATGCAGATAACTTCTGTGCTCTTCTCGTGGAAGCCTTAAGTAATTTCTTGTTTTTAATCATTAGCCCAAAATCACATGCACATATCTACACAATGAACACGACAGACCTGAATCAACAGACATCAAATGAATCTTAGCTGGGTCCATGCTCATCTCAAACGAAGGGGTAGTTAATCAGTCCTTGCCAGAGGACTTTGTGGAAATAATAACTCTTACTGTACTTTGGTGAAGGTGTAGTCTGTTCTTCTTTCACAGGAGGAGAAATCCACTACTGACCACTGAATGCACTGACACTTGACATGTTGTGTCCCTGACTTTGGGGCATCCTTTGTCTAAACCTTTCAGGATCGTGTTATTTTGGGATCAAACAGCGCTTACCTCTATGTCGGACCACCTGCACAAAGAACAGAGGAGGACCTGAGCAGATATGACTATGACTTCTTTCAATCTGAGTTGGCAGCAGCAGAAGGTTTCGGTGTGGATAAACTTGGTAAGCATCAGTGCTTGTGCATGGGGTGACGTTATTCTGGGGGACTCATGTTTCATCATCTTGGATCATGTGCAGACATCTTTCAAATCTGCCTTGTCCTGCACCTCACACACTGTTTTTGCTGTGGGCTGGAGACTGTGCAGTGCTTTGCATGGAAGCAGACATGAGTCACGCTAATTGCTTGATACCTATCTACTGCTTACAATAGAAAGAGAAGTGTATTTTGTTTAAGTTTATTTTACAGGTTTCAATGTTGTTTCATGAAGGCTTGTCTAGTAGCTGTTACCTGATTATACTGTTGTGTTCCTAAATAGTAATGTGTGCATTTGCCCTTTGTCTCAGAATGAGACTTTCCTGCAAGCCATTTTAATATTTTTAGTCCAGTAAAATGTTTGATTTGTAAATATGAAATAGACAATCCTAACATCCAGAGAGTTTTTACTGTAGATATTCCGCATTCAGGTACTTATCATTCTTAAAGAAACTGGGGCTGCGTGTTTGTAATTGTGTGCTAATCTGCCCGACCATTTTGAGTTAAGTGGCTCTCAGATTTCTCTCTTAGTTACTCCATCCCCATAGAAGCATGCAGTAGTTGTTCAGCACCAGAGAGCAGTCAGCATAATCATGCTGCTGCCTCCAGATATTTGTCTGAGATGCAACCCAGTGCCTGTGATGAGTGGCTCTGGGAGAGCTGAGGGCACACAGAGGACTTAGTTAAGATGCCTGATGCTCCATGGCATTGCGCTCACTCGCACAGTGAGGGGTGCAGTGAATGCTTATCTGAGCACCTGGGTGGTGTAACTGGCTGTTCTGAGGGAATCTTGTGCCTCATGTTCAGCTGTGTCACCAAAGCTGTAGGTGTTCAGTCTGGTCTGAGCCAGTTCTCCAAATATACCTACAGCAAAATCCTCTGCCTGAAGCCCATTTTCTAATAGGATCCCTGGAGTGTGCCCAGAGCAGTGAAGCTGCAGAGGGTTTGGAGCACAGGGCTTTTGGGGAACGGCTGAGGAAACTGGGCATGTTCAGTCTGGAGAAGAGGAAGCTCGGAGGAGACTTTATTGCTCTCTACAAATGCCTGAAGGGGGGTTGCAGTGAGCTGGGGGTCAGCCTCTTCTCCTAGATAAAATGATGGACAAGAGGCCTGAAGTTGTTCCAGTTCAGGTTGGATATTAGGAGAAACTTCTTAGGGTGGTGAGGCACTGGAACAGGCTGACCAGGGGAGGTAATGGAGCCACCATCTCTGGAGGTGTTCAAGAACTGTGGGGCATGGAGAGACATGGGTTAGAGGGCATCATAGGGATGGGTTGGTGGTTGGACTAGATAATCTCAGTGGTCTTTCCAACTCTAATGATTCTGTGATCAGCTTTTTAGTCTGATTCTGGAAGTGAGCTCTTGCACTGCCCCTCTCCCTATGGGACATGAGCAGGCTGGATGCTGGATGTCCAGCTTGGTGAAGGGCAGTGGTATTGACAAGGGGCTTCTCATTGCTTTCTGGCTGAGAACAAGTGCCCCTCTAAAGCTACCTGCAGGGGTTGGCAGCCTGCTCACCTCTCCTGTTCATGTCTTCTTGAAGGCACTGTGAGCGGTGGGCAGGACAGAGCAGATCCCAGCGTCCTGGCTGTATTTCATGACTACATCAAGCTGATGCCACTGGTGGAGGAGGTGAATCAGATGAGCCAGGAGCTGAGGAAGGTGAGAAGGGCTTCTGCCTGGCTTCTGTGGGTCATACTTGTTTTGCACATTACTGAGCATGAATAGGAAGAATTGTAAGAGCATCTCCCTTTGCTTTTGGGCTTCCACTTGCTCCATTCTTTTGCTTTCCCAATCTCCCTCACCATCTCATGGGCAGAGAGTAGACATGGGGTAAATGTGAATCTGGGAGTGCAGGCTGCCAGCAGTGTTTCAGGGCCACTGTGCTGTATAAATATGCAAACAGCGGCGGATTCTGTACTTTTTAGAGAACAAGAGGTCCAAGAAGGGAGAATTCTTCCTCATGCTTGTTCGTAACTTTGGAATAATGAGATAGATCCAAGGGCAATCAAAATGGACAATAATAACTTTGGAGCATTTAAACTAACTATGTAGCTTCTGGAGAAGTTTCCTGAAGAAAAATGGAGATACGTTGATTAGGATGAAGATTCTGCTTTCTCTGTGCAACCTCATGGCAGAGTGCTTTGTCAGTATTGTGTCAGTGGGGGAGGTAAAGGAAGCCTCATTCCGAATGGATTTCAGACATTTGAAATAGCAGGGATGTCAAATCCAAGCACTGCAGAAATTTTGTGGTGAGAATTTCTTCTTTAAGTAGGATCATGTAAATCTCTGGTATTGCTTTTAAATGAAAATATTGCTAACTTGCATAACTGAAGGTGTCTTGGGTATGAATGTGCTGAGTAAACTTTTTTTAATTAATAGGACCTCAAATTTGAATTGAAGGTGAAAAATCTGGCCTTATCAGACTCCAGAGGCCATGACCTACAAAAGGAAATAACAGTAAAAGTGACACATGAAACTACACAGCAGGTAAGAAGGCAGAGCAAGTCAGCCTGATGTGCTAAGGCTAAAAGAGAAGATAAAGAATATGTGTGCTGCATGCTCATTCTTGTGGAATCCTTGCAGTACTGTGCTGTGCCCTAATGGAGCTTTGCTCTTCTACTCTCCCACTCTTTGATGCCCATTTTCTGTACCACCATACATGAATTACTCTCTTCCCAAGCCATTGCTGGATCTATTTCCTTCTCAGAAGGAACCGATGTACTGCTTGCTCATGGGACAGCCATTCTCCTGGGTAGCTTGTATGATGTACAGGAGATACCTGAGGTGTATTAATTCTGCTCCTAAATGGCTGATCTGCCCTGGCATTTCTGTGTACGCTTGGCCACCTTCAAACTCTCTGTTGCCGAACTTCTCAACAGGGGGTGCTCCTGTTGGAGCGAAACAGGCACATTTGACACAGACCAGGGCAGGGAGAACCTGTTGGAGAACCTCACAGTGAAGGCACTCACTGCCAAGATCTCACTTATCTTGGGTCTCTGTGGCCACTGGTGAGCACCAGGTCGCATCCTTGTCATTGAAACCCCTTCAGCTCTGCTGCTCAACTGCAGCTGATCATTGGCTGCTTACCAACCATGCTTTACCTTTTAAATATTGGAGGAGGGAGCTTTATTAGTCTGTTCTAAAACAAGAGGTTTTTCTCCACTGATGGACAAAGAAAAGCAATTTTATATTTTCACTTCACATATTTAATAGCACACTCATAATTGATTACACATTCTAATTCGTGAATTGTCAGCTTACAGGAATATTTGATAATGTAACTTATCCTCATTTTGCCATCATCAATGTCTATTAATCTTTCAAACCATCAAAGCTGCAATGTGTAATGCTGTTGCTTTCTTGTGAAAGCATTTCCAGTTGTTCTTGCATAAAATTAGCCTCTACCAAGCTTAGGTCATAGAGGCCATGCTCTTATTGTGTTCTTTAAAAACATAGTGATGGAACCAGGAGGAGCCTAAATCCACGCAGAGTGATTTATTTGGATTTTCAGTAGTAGTTGTAAGAGCAAATAATATTTAAGCTGGAAGCAAAGGAAAGTAAGACCAAGTGAAAATTATCTTAATGCAGAAGAAACAAATTAATGAGCAATACTGGTTGGGCTGAAAGGAAAATGAAAGGTAGTTGTATTCTAATAAATCTCTGAAATCTCCATTCTACACAATCTATGATCTCTCCTTGGAGCAATCTTAAGCCCCACACTTTTTTATTGTGGGTGAAAGTTCCGTACACATGTCTGTAACAAAAATCTCCTCCATTCTGCTGTGTTTATATGAATTTTGAGGTAGCTTGGTGATACATAGGTCATGTATGACATTGGTCATACATAAAGAGGTGGAGGGGTGCCTTGCTGTTTGTGTCCGTGACTGAGTCACTTCATTCACAGGTGTGGGTATGGTCGAAGGCCAAGTTCATTAACAGGAAGTTCCTAATGGAGGAGCTTTACCAGCGCTTTCTGGAAGGGGAGAACCCAGCTGTGAATCAGGACAGTGATCCCTTCTGGGACCCGGTGGAAGCTGTCCATGTGGGATCTGCACATGTTTGGCTGCAGGCACTGGCGTACCGCATGAGGCTGGAGGAACGGGCTGAGCTGCTCAACTCTGAGGGACTGGAAGAGGCTGTCGTTCTGATAAACCTGTTTCCGTGCTTCAGTGATGGGAGGTAACCATCCACAGCCTCTGTCCTGAAGTCTGTTGGTCGTTCCTTGTTAAGGGAGCTTGGGAAGTCCACCTGCTGAAATGCTTAACTGGGAATAAAAGCTGGAAATGATGAGCACAGTGTGGAAGAGGGAGACAGATCTCACTGGTCTAAGTGAGTGCAGATCAGCTCCAGATTCATTAGATAATATGATGGGCAGTCAGTAGAAATTTCTTTCTTTGCTGAATTGCTCTGGAGGATCCCAGGAACTGAGTTTCTGACAGTCTCAGCCCTGCTGCCCGACAGCTGTGTCCCTGTTCCCAGATGGATCTGGCATCTCACAGGATGGCCAGAGCCAGATAGTCCTTCTGCAATGTCTGCAGTAAGGTTGATATGCCAGCACCTAGTCCTTATGCCCTTCCTTTACGCCTGGAAATTTGCAAGCTAGCAGATCACACTGAGTTGCTTTTAGTTCAGGTGCATTACGGTCAACATTGAGGCTCCTTCACTCGAGGGAGGAAATAATTATATGGCAAAATACATTTGGGTTAGTCCTCCTCTGTTTTGAATGGTTCTTGTGTCCATATTGTCCTTCTGGGCTTCTTTGTTTTCTCTTTCAAGCACTGCTGTTTTGTGTATCATAACATCTGATAATGAAGGTTACATTGCTATCTTGGAGATCTGCAGGGGGATTAAAAAAGAACCAACAACACAGCACGCCAGCTGTCACATAAACCTGGCATTTTGTTTGCTGCTAAGGGATAATTATCCACATGTTCATGTCACATAACAGCAGCTCTCCTTTCTAACCCCAGCGTCCCCTTCCTTTCTGTTATCACCCCGTTTGATGTTGATCGATGACCTAGGTCACTGACACTGAGCTGTTCCTTTCTGTTGGCAGACTTTTCGGGGAGGACGAGATGGTCATTGATCCGCTGGAGCTGCTGGAAGGAAGGGTTGATTTCCAGATTCACATTGCAGAGTGCCTTGGAGTCAAATGGCTGCGAGGTGCTGTGGGAAGAGGCATTCAGATCGGGTATTGTGTTGCACCACTTCTCTGCCACATCAGCATTGTGCTTTTGGTGAAACTGACAGCACATTTAGCCTTGCTCCTTTGGAAGTCGTGAGCCCATATAAACTATTATCTGTTAAGCTTGAGTCTTTGAGCTGCAGTAAGAATTTAACCTTGAATCTAAGAAACTACAGAAGGTATGTCGTGTGGGCCTAAAAAAAATCAGTCCCATTTTTAAAAACTCTGTGTTGAAAAGGATTTTCATGGCTTTGTTATCCACAGAGAAATGGCTGGGGTGGAGCTGGAGAAATGCCCCGTGGATTACTGAATAGAATGGGCAGAAAGCTGGAGGTCTCAGGGCAAACAAAGGAGTTAGGAATATTTTAAAGCTTTTGTGCATTTTTTTGACAGCGTGCCACGCTGCTCCTGTCAACACAATAAGTACTGAACATTAATAAAGTACGGTGATATTTCCACCTGTCCTGTGGGTGCTGAATGACTGCACAGGGCACTTTATTAAGCAGGAAAGAAGAGCTGACCTTGAAATGCTACAGTAATTGTTGCTGCTCAACTTCTGTGTCTGTTTTAATAGCTGGCCTTTTCAGAGACCAAATTGGGTTTTAATTAATTTTTTTTATGCTTGCATTTTATGTCTTTAGGTATAGAGTTTATGATCTTCCCCGGTGCTTATACACAAAGCCTGTCTGGGAAAGCGTCAATCCGAAGATAGAAGAAACAGTCCATTTCTCAGCTCTAAAAGCTTCCTATGAATTTCTGAATTATTTACAGAAAAATGCTTTAATTGTTGATTTATGGGGCCTCCAAGGTATTTCTTTCCAAAATTTTCACTTTTGTAAGTTGTACATTACATATTTCATATTCAGTGATGGTTTGGAGATAGAATCAGACCATGCTGTCCATAATTATGGATGCAGAACTGTTTGTTTGGTGGATGAACAGCTCAGTTATTCGCACTTTTCAGTAAAATATTAATTTGGGATATGAAAAATGGTTAGTGACTTCCTGATTTCATTTTAAAATGAGGATGCTGACCTCCAGCTTGGTTGAAGTTTTAAGGAAAAGGCTCTCTGTCATGAATTCAGAGCTTAAGAGGAGACTTTTTATTTCCACCTTAAATATTGCACACAATGTTCAGTAAGGGCACCAGCAGCAGAGAACATGTGCTGGCTGAGCCCTGAGCACGCTGTCTTTACTCTGCTGCAGAAGGTTGCATGGAGATGGACTCCTCACTTGATGGCCTTTTGCTCACAGCTGAGGGCACCGTTGTGATTGATAATCCCAAAGATTTGACTGCAAGCCATGCTGGTCTGGTAAGTGTACTTACTGACATCACTTTCTGAGAAATCCACTTGATTTTAATGGGAATATGCAACTAGCAGGAGCTGCAGGGATGCATCTGATTGTGCAGAGCACATTGTTCTGTTATACATGCTGAGTGTTCCTAATGTACCACTCTAGAGCACTGTTTGGGCTGACAGAGCCTGGCAGGGGGCTGACAGTTACTACACAGCTGAGCTGCTCAGTACACATTTGCTGGAGCACCACAGTGCATCGTTATGTATTTTTTATGTATTTTTTAGGTATTTGTATTTCTCTGTGTATAAATACAGATGTATGTATTTATATATGTAAATACATACAGGCATTCAGAAAGAGATGATAAAGCTAAGTTACCCTAGTAGTTGTAGAAATTCTTTTGCTGCTTTTTTGCTAGTGAAATTCTATGACAACGGGACATCAAACATTGACTTTTCAGTTGGAGAAATAATAAATGAATATTTATTTAAAGGATTAATAAAACTATAATGAAGGAAAAAATATCCATCTGAAGCCACTGAAAAATTTGTTTTCAAAATTCAATATCCTGAAGAACATTCCATTACCCATTGGAACATCCACTTATCTACATACAAGTACTTTAGATAGACAGAATGAATGAAGATTTGGTGATAATTGAATTGCAGTTTTCTAAACAAAAAAACACCACCACAGGATGCAGCTATGGAAGTGCCTGAACTCTACCGGAAACTGCTGCAGATGGAACAAGAGACAGAGCTGCTGAGGGAGCTCAACAGAGCTTTAAGAGAAGAAAATGCTCTTCTTAAAGACAAACTGAAGAAATGGGACGTGGGACATCATGAAAGTCAGTGCCCATCACAAACTGTCTCAGTATTGCATGCTTTTGCTACAGTTCTTCCTTACCCGCACTGCTCCAGGATGTAGACTGTACAGAAAGTCAATTGATATCTCACTGGCATTCCTTTTCCACTGACAAAGGAAATTAGCTTGCTACTTTCAATGGCAATAAATTCAGAACTGATTTATCACTTTTAGTTTATTAATAAAATGTAATCTTTTCTATTTTAGAGAAGAAATCTGAGTCACCTACCAAGGTGATTAAGGTGATGAAGCAGTCTGAGTCATCAAGAGACGCTGAAGAGATGTGCAGCCATCGGACCAGCTGTGATGCAGAACTTGCCAAGGCCCTTAAGACCTTCTATCAAAACATGAGTGTAGTCAGACAGCAGTTCCTTCAGCTGAAGCATTCCAGGCCATCAGTAAGTCCGTTTATTGCAATAGTTTAAGCATCTGAAGCTGTTCTTCAATTCTAAAGAATTTTGTCTTAAAAACTTCAGGAATTTGAAAATGAAGGTATCACAGAGTCGCAGGATTGTTGAGGTAGTGCTACAGTAGGCTTCCTACTCTGGAGAGAAACTCATTGTTTCCATGTGTTTTGAACAGGACCAGAGGTACTGTCTAGGCCTGCAGACTCTGTAGTCTGACTTGCAGGTTAAAACCAAGAGAGCTGAACAAACTCAAATGGGCATGTTGCTACAGAACTGTTTGCCTACCAGGGAAGCCGTGCTGTAACCAAGCGTGTTGTGTATCTACTCAGTGCTTTAGGGCTGTTATGCTGTCATCATCTTGTTCATAAAGTTGCTTCAGAATGATGCAGATTGGCTCCTCAACCATGGTTGGCTCACTATTCAGCAAATCTTCCAGATTGCTTGACAACGAAGCTATTATTTACTCAAGCTGGCAAGGGGAATTTATTGTGTAATATTGGCTTTCTCAGCATGACCTTTTAGCAAGTGTTGTAACTCTTCCTGTTACTTCTCAACAGCCCCATCTCTTGCCAGTAACACTGTATTGTTCTGATTTTTCCTTCTCTATATAACCTTCAGTTATGCAGGGTAAGAAAATCTCCTAAACTGGTGTGTTATCTTACGGTTTTCACCACTTAAGGTTTCTCTGCACAGAAACAGAAACACCTAAACATGAGTTTGCTTTGGCCCATTAAGTATTTAGCCTAAAACACAGCTTTGAGTTGGAGAGCCATCCCAACTTCCATCAGTCATTTGAGCAAGCTTGTATTGAGTACTGTAAATCTGCATGCATAAACGCAGGCTAGGACATTTCTTTAGGAAACATTTGTAACAACTTTTTGGGCCTTTAGACTGTTGTGAACTGTTATCACCCAGGGCAGAAAGCACCAGTGGCTTAGAACCCTACCTGAGGAAAAAGCTGTTCATGTGATTGTCGGGGGGAAGGGAAAGAAATAAAACGCACAGTAAACCAATATCTACTACTTTGCTCAATGTAATATTGTAAGCACAGTAGTTCTGGCATCTGAGTTAGGAGTGGCATGATCTGAACTTTAATCCAACAACTACTTTAGGCCTTGACAGTGTTAAAGAACACATAACATGTTTCTTTTGTTAGTAGCTGATCATTATTGCCTCTTACTGTGGCCTAATTCGCAGCTTACAGAATCACAGTGCACTGTTAGTATAACAGCTGTGGAGATGCTGATCAAAGTTTTTGATCTCATACTAGGAGACTTTAATTATAGAGCAGACATGTATTTCTTCAGATCTTGGTATATTTTTTTTTTCTGCAACTGAAGAACAAAATTGTGTATCAACAAAGATATTAGATGCTTACAGGCCATTTATTTCTAAAACCCGCTGCTCAATTTTGGGTTGTCTTGGAGCAAGGCTGCTTGATGGACATCTCAAGGACAATACATGTCGAGTCACAGGAGCTCTTCTGTGCCTACATTAAAAATATATAGCCACTAGGTTAAAGTTAGCTATGAAGCTAATACATAGCCCTTCAGATCTAAGTGGCTGGTGTCCAACTTTACTCCTTTAGATGTTGCTGCCAGGAGACTGAGAGGTGTAATTCATCTGGCCTGGATAAAGAGCAAAGCTGTACTCCCAAGCACATCCTTTCAGCTGTGGTACATGCTATTCTTGGCAAAATAACATGTAATTATGATCCTAATTTTAGTTTTTGAACCTGTAGTAGTTTGTCCTACCATTTGTCTCCCTTTTACTCAGTTACCATAAGTTAACCCTGAGACCTTCGGGTAGCCTTTGGTGTATAAGTGAAAAAATGACATGAGAGTTGAGCCAACTAATTTCTTTTATTATGTTTTAGCAGGAAGAGAATTTGCAGGCACTACGTCTTTTTACAGAGACACAGTCACAAAAGATAAGTGATTTTGGCCAACAACTTGAGTCTGCAGTTTATAAGCTGAAAAGCGATGTTGCTCTTATAGTTAAGAAGAAGCGAGAATACACAGCATACAGCAAACCTTGAGGATCCCTTTCTAGGAATACAATGAAGTGCACGTGAGTTTTCAGTTTGTCTTTAAGTTCTGTCTCAAGCATTCTATGTACAGCACAGTCAAGGCAGCTTGTTTGCTTATGATGTCACTCGTTACAAATCTGTTTCAGCCTAAGACTAAAACTTGCAAGATTTCTGAAATACTTCATCTGCAACAGTGCTCTGATCTCAACATGTTGTATCACTGGGGAAAAAAATGCTGTTATGTATTATTCAATGTACATAGACTAGAAAAAAAAAATTGCTAGATGTATTATTATTCAACCACAAAGAATCAGATGTAGACTCATGAATGGTAATTTAGTAATTACAAACATGTGGAAAGTTGTTCCAGCAATTTAAGTAATTTGAGTAAGTAATTTAACTTCTCAGTTACTATACTGACAAGGCCAGTACTAGAAATAGTCATACTGTAAATACATCTTTCTTGATACTGTCTTGCATACTGCACACGTTCTTCTAGAATGACTTGTCAGTTGAAATTGCAATTGGTCTTCAGCTCACTATACTGACAAGCTTTGTGCTTTCTGTTCTTTAGTACAGCAAGCTCGTAAGGCTGAAAAGTCAACAAACCTTAAGACAGCAGTACAGATCTCTAGAATAATACAGCAAAAAGACAATTCTATTCCTCAAACCTGAGGAGAAAAACTACTTTTATTTGACTATGGTAGTAAGGCTTTCAAAGTAGTAACACCACAAACTAATAGTGCCTATCCAAACAGATATGAGGAGTAACTAGCAGTTTCCTCTGCTAAGGCACTTGACAGCCAGGGCCTGCCTGCTTTAAATAGTTGGGGCGAGAAGACTGTGGTTAATTGTGAAGCAGAATGAATTAAGCAGTAACTGAGGCTGCTGTTCTGCAACTTAAGGTGAAAGACGTTCAACAAAGTTCTAGTATCTAATAAATCACTGATTTTATATGTTCGTGAATTAAGACAGTATCCTTTCTGTGTTTTCTCACATCACAATTTTAAACTCAATTTTCACCTGTTTCTGCTGTAAACAACAGCACAATGCAACTATTTTATGAGGAGGCTTTTACAGCCCAATGAGCTTTATTGGAATGAGGTGCAGGTAAGATGTTAGGTCACACGGCTGTTTTGATGTCAGACTTCTGGCTGGCTAATAACAGAGAACTCAACACCACGTTTGCTGAGGCGATCAATCAGTTTTGTTTTAGAGAAGGCAGCTCCTGGAGAATACACACCACCCCTGTTAACAACAGTCAAAAGAGAAAAACCATTAGTGGTGAAGTGGCTCAGCAACACCTTTATTTGAAATGTGCTTCCCTATCTAGGAAGGGAAAAGCCATTTTGTCCAGAGGGAGTACAGGAGGAATCGGACAAGCTTGTTATATTTAGAGGTTCATTTATGCATCCACCAAACTCACAGAAATTACTCCTTGACTGAAAAGAGAGAGTCTGGTTCAATGGTGTGGCAAAAATGTTACTAAAACTACAACATCTTTTCAAATTGAAATGCAAAAGAAGAACCATCTCCATTGTCTAGCAAGGATCGTGTTTAATACCACTGCTCTTTGGGTGAGGTGACAAAGCAATCCACAGAGTAATAGAGAATCTGTTCTATCAAAGAGAGGAGCTGTAAGGGAAATCAAGCTGTTCTGCAAAGTACTCACTCTTTAGGCAGATGAGCTGAATCTTCCAGAAGAGCAACAGCTGCTTGAACCATTGCAATTGGTGTAGCAACATAGCCAGGCTCTAACAAAAACCAAAAACCAGCGCGTTGAAACACTGATTCACATTTCTAATCTTGCTCTCTTATATATGGAATGCTGAAGATAATCTCTTTGCCAGTCTAAACTGATATCTCTGTTTAAGAACAAGTTTGTTACCTGGTAATCATTCAGAGTAGCTTTGAGAGTCCTGTAAGAACTAATGTGAACAAGTACCAGCTTCAGCTACAGGCCTGTGATCACATGAGAACCTTGAGTATCACCTCTGGAGTGCTGGAGGGCTCTACATTTTAGCAAGAGCTCTGCCAGTTCTGTGCTTAAATTCAGACCTTTTGATGTAACACTATTTGCAGTCAGCTACATATTTTGTTGTTTAAAGTAATAGCGGTTAGCTAACTCCCTTCTAAATGTACATTGTTGCTGTCTCCAAAACTTCATTTCAGGAATGGCCTGAACACTAATATGTTCAGCTAAAAATAACACCACATAACATATGGATTTTAGGTTCACTCACAAGGGACTGGAAAGTCTAATGTCTAGTAAAAATGTCCAGTAACCCAGGTTCTACGATCCACCCTTCAGTCACTCTCCGTTTACTATTCTACTCTGGCAAAAATGAGAATTGGTATGACGACAGGCACAAGAAAAGAGAATGTCAAGCACAAAACACAGTTAGCTTTTTCAAAAAGCAGGTTAAAATGAATGCTGGTATCCAAGATCATATTCTGTAAATACTGATGACTTAGTGCATGTTGCAAGCGCTTTGCAAGGGCAAAGGGATGGTAGTGGAACCACACACCTTTATCACATGAGGAAATGTGAACCAAAAGCAGTTAGCTGCTAACATACATACCTGGTCCCTTCACTTGAGTGCAGATCTTTACATTTGGTTTGCCATTCTGCGGATCTTGCCCCTCACTGTAACCCTCACCAAAAAATGTCATTGTGAAGGAGGTTCCATCCATCTGCAGTGAGTAAGGCAAGTGGCAAGTCACCAACACACTCATGCACTTGTATCAAGCAAACAGAAGTAGTAAAGCACTATAATCCACCGAGAGCAGTTACTTTGAGTTATTATTTAAAAGGTACCATTGCATTTACGTAATTTGGATATTCTGATCACTTCCACTTTATTGGAGCAGTTATTGCCCTAAAGTCCATTTATTCTCTCCTTGCTTTCAGGCTTGATTTTGTTGCACTCTATATACTGCAAGCTATTCATATTAACACATCAGAGCCAGCAATATGATCCACTTTTTCCTTACAAGAGCTCTACCTATTTTGATGTCCCACTGCCAGACAACATGACTTTTTGAATAGTCAAAGCTATCTGAACAGGTATGCACAGTGTGTATTCAGAAATGATTTGTTTCTTTGAGACTATGTGGTGGATGCCAGTTTACAACTGTACCATTACCACAAATTTCTTATTAGGTGGGATGGAAAGCAGCCAGTTACCTGTTTCTGGGTTGGTCCTTTCTTTGTGAAGCGTCCAGCAGAGAAAAATTCTGGGTACTGCATAATGAGAAGGCAAAGAAAAACAATTTAAAAAAAAAAAAAAAAAAAAAATTAGAGAGAGCAAAAAGACTCCCACCACTTGATTCTTTAATTCTTTTGCACTTTGAATGCTTACTTTTGTCAGGAGTTTTCTTCCAAAGCTAAATTTCACAAGAAGAAGAAATAAAATGCCAGCAAACATCAGCTTCATAACAGAGCCAAGACCACCTACAGTCACATAAGCACTGTACTGTACCTACAACAGAAAAACACCAGTGATAGAATTTATATCAGCATTTTTGCATGAATTTCTTCATAAAGATGCTGGGTGCAACTTTTTTTTTATACAACATCTGTTTGAAAAGAACCTTAAACAACTGTCATAATTCTAAATAATGCTTCACTGCATAATTCTTTATGAGAATACACTCTAACTACAGATTGGAAAGACTATGGTAAAGAAAAGTGGAAAACTTCGAAGAAAGTTGTCTTCTGGTATCTCACAGAATCACAAGGTTGGAAACGACCTGCAAGATCATCCAGTCCAACCACCCTCCCATTCCTATTAGTACCACAAGCACTAAACCATCTCTCGTAGCTCCTCATCCAGGCGCCTCTTGAGCACTGCCAGGGACGGCGACTCCACCACCTCCCTGGGCAGCCATTCCAGTGCCTGACCACCTTTCAGGCCTGATCTCCTTTCGGGCTTTCCTGACATCTTCCTTTCAAACCCGTTATGTTTTCACCTAAGAGAACTCAAGGCCCTGTATTGTAATTCTGAATTAGTAACAATAAAACTTTTTCATTAATAGCTACAAGCCTATTTTTAGAGTGCAATGTCTCTTCAGTGATTCTGCACAGCTGTTGGATAGACTGTCAGTGCTGATCTCCTCTGAAGGAACCATAGAAAACAAGAACTAAACATCTTGCACATCAGAAAGCCAAGCATCAAAGAAGTCTCCAGGTGCAAATAAGAAGGATATAACTTCCTAATGACAATATTTACTATGTTATACCAACCTGGCTACAGTTATGATGTTTTTAAAATCTCTGTGGCTACAACAAAAAGTCTCTGCAGTTACAGAATCAAAAACCTTCATCCTTTCCTGAAATCAAGAAACTGCCCTTTTAAATATTTCTCTGACCCAAAGCTTCCATTCCCTACAAATACCCAGAACTCAGACAGCATAGAAACTGTAGAAGACAGTCTTACAACACAAGGACATAGAGCTGTTGGAGCAGGTCCAGAGGAGGGCCATGAAGACAGTCAGAGGGGCTGGAGCACCTGCCCTACAAGGACAGGCTGTGAGAGCTAGGGCTCTTCAGCCTGGAGAAGAGATGGCTCTAAGGAGACCTTATAGTGGCCTTCCACTATTTGAAGGGGTCTCCAGGAAAGGTGGGGAGGGATTTTTTAGAAGGGCATGTGGTGACAGGACAAGGGGAAATTGTTTTAAACTGGAAGAGGGTAGATTTAGACTAGATATTAGGAAGAAAT